ATAAGTAATATGCAACTTTGTAACAGGAATTAAATCCTAAGAGACGATAACAACGCATGCTAAAAACTTCAAAGGCACATAGGTAGGTGCATGTTTGTAAACAACAATACGTTATGGCTGTTTGCTGCATGTCCAGGTGACGACTCCCTCACTTTAATGCTAGTATACATTTTTTGTCATTCATTGTTATTGAAATTCTTTTTTTCTTTAGTGTGTTTTCTAGTTTTTTAGTTAATACCTGACTGTTGTACTTTTGAAAGTTTAGTGTCAGTAAATAAATAGATGGGTGAAATCTGCTAAATTAAATTGTTATAAAAATGTAAAATTCAAAAAAGAACACATTGTTTTCCTGACAAATGTTTGAATTTAAACCCTCATGAATATTCTCAAAATAATAAAAATTAAGTACTAGTAAAAATGAAAGGGTAAGCCATTTTAATAAAATAAAATATTTTGGCACCACGGTAATGATACTTTTTATTATTGTTTGCAAACATGTCTAGGCTCCTGATGATTGTGCAGCGGCTTTTCTCTCATGTTTGTAGAATATGTTATATGAACATGTAAAGTTTTAATATACACTGGCAGGTTACTCAACAATAGAACATTTACGTGAAGATATTCCTTCGAGGGTTGAGTGAATCTAGTGTAATGTTTTTTATTTTGGATAGTGATACTGAAATTTTCAGTGCTAGAGATTTTCAATTTGATTCCTTTCTCGGTAGTCACTAGGGTAAGAATTTTGAAGTCATTCATACAAACAAAACAATATTTAAAACATAAAATACAAGACACATAGAAAGAAATATAAATTGTTTTCATCTAAATGTTTAATAGGTCTTGTATGAAAAAAATAAACTTGAAATAAAAACAAAGTAACCAATATCCTATTTTTAAAACTTACCTGAATGTATAGCACCCATCCAGTTTTCCATCTCAATCTGACTCTGTGCCTATAAACAGGTAATATTAAATTATACATCAATGGTATTATATAACCAGAGTCATTGTATGGGCAGCATCACATTTCACGTATATCATGTGGGATTCACTGATTATTAACACCCTCTATGATATCATATGCAAATTTTAGCCTTGTTCCAGGTATTTTTTTTCTCCACACTTGAGATGTATTGTGTCACCATTTTTTCTTCTGGGCAAGTTCAACTATTCAATTTACTAGCATATTCCTTTGCAGTCCATGTTTATTTTAGACACACCCTAAAGAGGTTAAGTTAATTTGGTCTCCTATACATGTACTCCAAGTATGATACAATTTACGATTTCAGTCGCTTCTCCTCACCTGAAATAAGTAGGCATCACCAAATGACGTACTAAGGCAAAATATATGGTCTCGTTTTGGATGTTCAGGCACAGCTTGCGATATGGCACCATCAGCAACTGTAGACAAGAAAGCATTTTTTATATAATTGTTTTATCATAAATGTGACTATTTATCAATGGTTACTGTTACATTGAATAAGAATCCATATTTAATTCAGAACTACTGTTAAATACTTTATTTTAGCTGAAAATAATTTTGTATGGAATTAATTTTCACTGATTTTTGACGAGTTAAATGTAAAATATAGGAGAAAAGGTATATTCGCTGGATTATTTTTTTTTTTCTCTGAATCATTCCTGCAGCAAAAATAGTAAAAAATTTATTCCAAGTGAAAAATAAAGTATTTTACAGTATCATAATAACTCACATATGTGCTAACTCACATCCACTAACTCCCAACTCTGCTAGCTCACAACCTCTTCAGTGTGATTTCTACCGAGCAAACCTAATAAATTTGACATACCTAATACATGTCTTGGTGTACTGCTTTCATCCACACTAGTCTTCTCATCACAGACAAAAAACAACAATGTGGTTCCTTTCAAACAAACTGCAAATATAAAACAAAACAAGAAAAATGTTATATACTTTTAGCAGCTACCAATAAGACAATACTAATTCAAGATTTTTTTCTTCTCAAATCTGGTTGTTAAAATGAATAATGTCTGCTACAATTCCATTATATGTGCAATCCATTTTCCATCACATATTATTTCTCATTAGAAAGAAAATATTTGAAGAAGATTAAAACAAAAGTTGGTCATGAAATGGCACTAGAGGGCGCTGTAGTCTAGTTCCACCCAAGGCACTACACCATAAAACAACATTCTATCATGCAGAATTGAATATTCACATCTAATTCTTACCCCAATATTTTTTCCATCTTCTTTTGGCTGCTCTTTCTACTTTCTTCTTCCGCGTTACCAACATATTTTTTACATGCAACCACCTATGTTAAGAGAACAAATCAATGATTTCATTTAGTCATCTTTTTTTACTAACATTTCACTGACTGTTACTTTCCACAAGGTGACATGTTTTTATAGTCTGCAGGTGTCTAACAAAAATTGCTAAGAAATCTTTCAAAACTTTTGTTCAATACCTGTGGACATTGTGAAATGCTTCCTGGTTGTTAAAAAAATAAAATCAACAAAAATTGAACACAATTACGAAATCGTACTAAAAATAGAACTGACATTATTATAGAATATGGTACAGGGCATGAAATAGCTCAACTGCTGAAATGTGCACAAGACAATAAAGTTTCCTAACTTTATGAAGTTTAATAGCTGAAAAAGGTCCTTGAGAAAAGTATTTTAACATCATGTGATCGCTGTCTATAAACGCAGTGTGTACCGGTACAACTTACCCAGCTTTCCGGATAGCACCACGTCTATTGTATGACATATCACTTTTATGCGAACTCAGCGAGTCATTTGACGCATCAGACATGACATCATCCTGTAATCAACATGTATACAAAGTTACAAATGAGAATCACAATGCTACAAATATTGAAATATTTTCAGTGTTGAAATGTTCGTACACCACCTGTTAGCCTGCCATACTCAAATTGTTGTAGAGGATACATTCTTTTGCGAAAAATTAATTTTCATATTGGCATTCATTTTGTCATATAAGTTATGGTATTATTTTATATATTTCATGTTACTCGGACAAAAAACACTTATTGAAGACTGAGGAATATTTCGTCCAAATTACAAGTTTGATATTGAAGTTGCACTATGGACATAATGGTGCATTGTTTTAAGGTCCAGGGAACAAAGCGAGAAGTCTTTAAAGACTGTTATTTACAAGCAAGGTGGTAAATACCCCCCAAAAAAATGAACAATGTGCATTGAGATTGGACATAGTTCAATGTTTTTTTATGATACAGTCACGACTGTGTGTGATGTTAAAACGAGAGGGTCATCACCTGCGCACATGCAGGAATTGAGTCCCAAGCGATAATAACAACACAAACTAAAAACACAAAGGCTCATGGGTAGACACTTGTTTGTAAACAATGACATGCTATGGCCATCTGGCGCATGTGCAAATGATGACTCCCCCGCTTTAATTAAATTCAGAGCCAATTCACATTTGAACGAACTGCACATAGTGCGCAGTGTGCATGATGAACCAGAGAATAAATGAATAATAAAGGAGCAGTTAAATTTGTATTTCTGATTACAAATCAATGAGATTTATAGTTGGTATACATGCATCTAAACTTGGATGCAGTTATCGAAAATTCTCACATGCATGTCAAACTCACCTCTTCTTTGAACATAAACGGTTTCAATTCAGAAGTGTCTACAGAATCGGCTTCAGCGGTTGATGAGGAACGTCTGTTTGTTCCATTGCTATGCCGACCAACACTGCTACCACTGTCACTTCCACCTCCCATAATGCGTACAATTCCAGATGTTGGCTTTGATTTACCACGCCCGCTTGACTCAGAATTTTTAGAACTCTTGGTGGATGACGTTGCAGTTTCTGTCTCTGGGCACATACCATTACCGAATCCGCTATCTGAATAATCAAGATTCATCTTCTGAAGGTGAAGCTCGTACTCTTTCAGGGCAGGTTGTGGCGTTGACATTTCAATCGGTTCACCAACAAAACTGTTATCGTAATAACTCATAGACTTGGCTTGCCTTGGCAGTGATGATCTCCTTGGAGGCAAACTATCCGGCAGTTCTTTAGGAATTAGCGGCAACGCTATTCCAGAGTTGCTCCTATGTAAATGACTATCTGTGTTGCTCCGGGATCGTACAGAACCTGGAGAGTTGTTAATAAGACTTCCTAATTTTGTATTCCTCCCCAAACTTCCATTCTTCACGCGGCCAGTTTCCATAACACAGGGAGGGGGAGGAGGTAAATTATCCAAAGGTTCATACGGAAATCATGTTTATCCCCCACATCTATGAAAGCCGCTCCAGGTACATCTACACTTTCATTTTCAAGACTTTCTTTTATGATTTTACTCCCAGCAAAACTTTTCTTCCTCCGAGGAGGTGCTTTGGGAAGTTCACTCTCCTCTACATTTTCATACACGGAGAACACAGAATGGGAACTACCGGGGGTATGGGCATCTCCCAGCTCTCTCACATGTTCTTTACAATTTGCCTGCAAGAGGGAATCCTTTTCCAAAGCTTCATTTTCGAATGATAAACTCTGGCCGTGCAAGAATTCTCCTTAGGTGTGCTTGTGAATACATCATTATCTTCTGCAATTAACTGATCAATGTCGGTTATATATCCACCACTGTCTTCTGGAGACGGCGGCAGTTGTACTCCTGGTGGTGGCTCCAAAGGAAGCGACACTGAGGAATTTGTATGATGTAGTGGTGGCCTGTTTGATGGCTGTAAACAAAAATAAACATCATAATGAATAAAACAATCAACATAAGTTCTTTATTTTGTCCCGTTCTAAATTGCAATTCATTTAAACTTGAAATAATTACTGCAGAAAACAATGTTCACAGAGTGAACACATACAAGTACAACAAACACAACGACAACAAAATTGTGATAAATATTGAATAACTAGTTGGCATTTCATAATGCTGTTACTAATGGTTTAAAAGTATACCCGTACAATTTAGAGAAGAGAGAAAACAAAGGTACTCACTGTGCATGCTTTAACAAAACAGTAGGCATCTGCTTCAGATACAAAATTCAGACCCCATACTCCACCCTGTACTGTGTCTCTCCACTGAACAAAGCAATCACCAGACTTTAACAGTTTAGTACCTGAATAACAACAGAGGAAAGTGATATAATGTGGTGTGATGCAATGTGTATTATATGCAATACAGTATTTATGATGCAATGCAATGTGTATGATGTGATATTATATGCAATGTAATGTGTATGTGATATGATGCAATGCAATATGTATGTGATATGGTGCAATGCAATATGTATGTGATATGATGCAATGCAATATGTATGTGATATGGTGCAATATGTATGTGATATGATGCAATGCAATATGTATGTGATATGGATGCAATGCAATATGTATGTGATATGATGCAATGCAATAT